ACAAAGTTGTATTGAGAAAGAATAAACTAGTTTTATTTAAGAAAGGACTTGTATCGCTGAAGTTTCTCGGGAAGAATTTTTACGAGTAATTAACTAACGACCTGAGACATAACAATATATATAATCACCCGGGCAACGCCGGGTACCTCAACTGGTAGTAAGTAATAAGACAGATTCCTAAACTATTATACAGAATTTACTAAAGTGCCTGCTAACAATCAAAGTAGCATTTCCTCACCACTGAGGAACAAAATGGATGCCGTGGATAGAATCTTTCCGTCAATAATAATGCGGCCAGGTGGTTAGGGCACTCGACTCGCAATCTACGGGTCGCGGGTTCGAATCCCTGTCACACCAAACATGCTCGCCCTTTCAGCCGTGGGGGCGTTATAATGTGACGGTCAATCCCACTATTCGTTGGTAAAAGAGTAGCCCAAGAGTTGGCGGTGGGTGGTGATGACTAGCTGCCTTCCCTCTAGTCTTACACTGCTAAATTAGGGACGGCTAACGCAGATATCCCTCGTGTAGCTTTGCGCGAAATTCAAAAAACATTTTATACATGAGTACATTGGAATTATCCAAATTCGAAAAAATTATTTAAGTTCGAAAAAAGTAAAAAGAGGCATTATTTCATTTTTTAAGGCAGATGTTTAGAGGGCGCATTGCACCCTTTCGCGCCCCCGTGGCTACGGCACTGATGTGTGTGTGTGTGTGTGTGTAAAATAATGAGAATGGACAAAGCTGATAAAAATGAAAGCAATCTCTAGTATTTGACAAACAAAAAGCAAACTCAACATACATATTTGCTCACTTAAGAAGATAAATCCCACAGCTTTTTTCTTGAGATTGATTTCTGTAGAACTAAACAATCACCTAATTTATTCGACAATCACCTAATAGAACTGAACTAAAAAAACATGCTTTAATTCAACTGGTAAACATGGTTGTTCCGTTCAGTTGATAGCATCACCCTATGACCTTTATTCTCAACAGTATTTGTTGACTGTTCCATTGAGATAATGTCAAGTCAGCCTGAAGGATATTTCAGTGATAATCATTTCAACCCAGATGCCGTATACTACTAAAATATCCTTTTGGACAGAATATATATTATCTACTATATGTTTGTCTGTAAAATATATATATACAGG